TAGGAGGCGAAGAGGCAGCGCAAGGGATGATGCAGTTGACGGAGTGCAGTCGCGTGGAGGAGCATGACGACTGGTTCTTAGGAGAACAAGACGAGTTTCGCCGCGGTGCGTTGTCATAATGGACGCGCAGTGTCTTGCGCGGCAGGCCGACGGACGTGCCGGGGTCGCGGGCGGACGGCGCAGCGTAGTGCGGCGACGTTCGGTTCGAAGAGAACGCGCTGACAACTGCCCGAAAGAAGGCGTTCGAGTGCGCGGCTTGCAAATGTGAGCGAGACAAGAGGACGCCCTTTGCGACGTCGGCCGAAGACGCGCGGCTTCGAGAGGAAAGGTTTGTGGACGCCGTCGCTATCTGTGCCAATCAGGCCATTCGATGCCGCGTCGGGAAGCAGAGGGCCGCCCAGTGGGCGCGGGAGCGATGGGGGCAGGTGCCGCGGGTGGCTGCCGGAGACCGCCCATGCCGCGGGAGGGGCAAATGCGGCCGTTCACGGTTGAGGACAAAATATTGCGGCTAGGTGCCGCGAGAAGGAGTGCGCAAGCTTGCCGGGGGTGGCTCCCGCTGACGAAGGGCGCGCCCGTTGCCCTGGGAGATCATTTGGATCGGTCGAAGAAGCAGTTGCCGCAGGGGCGCACAGCGACGATTCATGGATGGGCGTTGCACGAGGACGAGGTCGCGGGAGATGAAGACGAGGAGGTTTTGCTGCATTTGCCCGGAGTCGTCCTGCTGATTTTTTACACGCAGGACTGGCGCCTCCCTGGTTGGGAGCCGGGGCTGTGCCGAATTTTTCCATCGAAAGAGCGTCCGTGGTTTTTGGGCGGGCGTCGGGGGCATCCAGCGTCAGGCGCGAAGCGCGCGCAGTTCATGATATCACCGTCATTGGCTGTCGCGGCGCGCGCCGCGCAAGGGCGAGCAATGGCCGCAGTTATCGCGGATCTTGACAGGGTCGTCGTTAGCTGGATGTTAAGTTGCGTTGCCATCGTGCGGGGGCGAAGGCGAACCCATTGATCTTCCGGCCGTTTTATAGGGCGGCCTACAACGGAGGCGAGGTGGCGGGCGCGAAGAAGCCGTTGCAGAGCTCCGAGGAGAGGGCGCGGCTGGGACTTGGAAAGGATGCGAGGCGACATGAACGCGCGAGACCAATTCGAGCGGTGCCAGCGCAGGCTGCACGTAGAGGCGTTCACGAAGTCTGAGTTCCAGAGGAATGACAGACCGGCATTCTGCAAAGAATGCACGGTGGTTGTGAATTGCGTTGGAGGGAAATGGTGCCCGACATGCGCTGCGTTGGCCGCCCGAGCGGAGGGCGATGAGCCGAGGCGGCGCGGCGGGAATTTGGCCGTCGAGGGGGCGGGCGAGCAGCAGGTTCTGCAAGCGATTCGGGCGATGCATTGCGCGAAGTGCAGCCATGTCGAAGCGAAACAGAAGTCGCGCCTTGGGAGCGCAAAGTGGAGCGAGAGCGCTGGAACAGAACGCTGCTCGAGCGGGACGTGCCTGGCGCGGTTCAAAGACCAGGCGGAGGTGTCGTATGCACAGGAGGAGCGCGATACAGCGGGGGAGAGGCCTTATCGGAAACGCGCGGAGGAGCGCGTGAAGTCGGCGCGCGAGGCGAACAGGCGCAGGCGAAGAGTACAGGCAGAGGCGGAGCTTGTGAAGTGCTGCGCGCCAGGGGGCGGGGTGAGTTGCGCGGACGCAGGCCATGTGAACCGCGGCCAAGTGGAGGACCATCGCAAGATGCCAGGGTGGTGCGCGGTGACAATAGCAAGTGCGGCATAGCCGTGGAGGAAGTAGCCGATGCGGTGAAGCGGCCGAGGTGACAATTGACGCGCGCGGCGCGCGAAAAAGAGTTTTCGCGGCAGGAACGCGCGAGCGACAGACAGGAGAGCGACCATTTCACGAGGAAGAGGAAAGTTCCATGCGCAGACTGCTTGGACCGGCTTCACGGCGAGCAGGTTGGCAAGCGCATGATTGCGTCGGCACCTGCAAGAGGAACTTCCCGAAATCTCATCTCGTCGCTGGACCGAATTTCGCGCATTCCCTCCGGAAGGGCGCCCTGACGTGCAAGTCCTGCGCGTGAGACCCGATGAAGCGCTCGCGGCAGCGGTCGAATGCTCGGGGCCGCAGGGGGGGGGAGGAAAAGGAGGGGAATGTGGAGGTGGTGGAGGAGGAGGAAGGTATTTCGGGCTTTAGCTCAGGTCACCAGTGGCCGTTCGGGACGATGGCGGCACCCCTGGAACGCATAGTTCCACCCTGGATTTGGAGACCTTGTGCGAGCCCCCGGACCGTGAATTCTTGAATGGTTTCGGGTCCACCCCAACATGGTTTTGGGTCGCAGTTCCAGAGATGCTTTGCGGAGTCTCTTCGGAACGCCCCCGGGGGACTAGGGGAGTGGCAGTGTCAGAGTCCCGAGGGATACTTCTTGGGCTCATTGTGTTGCCGGCGGCTGACATTCTCAGTGTTCGCCGTGCACGCATGGGGAAGCAGGCGAAGACCCGCGTACACAGACGGCGGGCATCTGTCAAAACATTAGAGGGATGATTATCGAATGGCCTTCGGCCCATCCCGACACCGTGCTTGGGTTGTGGGGCGGAAGCCAGTCGGATGGCTGATGGGGTCTCGTGTTAGGCCTTTTCGAGGGCGTTTTGGATGCATTTTTGGGCTGTTGGGAACCTCCCGTGGGGTGGGTGTTTTTTTTGGGGGGCCCTTCTTGGGACTCCATGGAGGCCTCTTGGAACTTTTGGGGGGTTTCGTGGGGCAGCCTGGAGGCGTTTTGAGGCCGAAGGCTTCAAATCCGTAAGGGCTTCGCCCCCTGCCGCCGGCCCCCTCTCTCGGAGAGTGGGCCATGGAAGAGCTAAGTCATGAGGCCTTGGCGCTGTTGTGAAGCAGTATCGAAACTTCATGCGAAGCCGATTTGCAATCAGCAAAACCAACTGATCACAAGAGGGGTTACCACACCTGGCGATTGGTAAGACGTGTATGGTGTACGGGCTTGGTTACCACACCTTGCGATTAAAGGGCCGAGGGAGTTCTCGCAGTTTGGGTTACCACGCCTTGCGATGGATGTGCGTGAAGGGTGGCACCGAATTTCAGAAATGTGCCAAATCCCTTGTGTTTTTGGACCCTGACCCCGCGGATCTGCGTAAGGGGTGGCGCCGAATGTCAGAAAGGTGGCAAATCCCCGTGTTTTTGGACCCTGACGCCGCGGATCTGCGTGAGGGGTGGCACCGAATTTCAGAAATGTGGCAAATCCCCTGTGTTTTTGGACCCTGACCCCGCGGATGTGCGTGAGGGGTGGCACCGAATTTCAGAAATGTGGCAAATCCCCTGTGTTTTTGGACCCTGACCCCGCGGATCTGCGTGAGGGGTGGCACCGAATTTCAGAAATGTGGCAAATCCCCTGTGTTTTTGGACCCTGACCCCGCGGATCTGCGTGAGGGGTGTCGATTTCGAGCCCCCCCAGCAATTCAGACAACGCGCCCAGGAGACGCTAAAAATCCCGTTTGGGCCTCCCCCCCCCTCGCGCGGTCAATCAACTAGTTACAGTAACCAGCAAGAAGTCAACTAGTTACAGTAACCAGCAAGAAGCAGAACTGTAACACTGGAAACTACAAACTACAACTGGTACAGGAAACTGCGAATCACGCGCCTCGCAGCCTGGTGGCCCCACAAGGGGGCCGGCGGATTTCCGTTTGGGTTTCCCCTTCGGGGCCTCCTTTTGGAGCCGTCCTGGGGCCTTTTCTGGGCCTTCTTGGGAGTTGTTTCCGAACCATCCTGTGGTGTTGGGTCCTCGTTTTGAAGAAGCAGCGCCCCGCGTCCCTCCCGCCTCCTCCTCCTCCTCCTCCTCCTCCTCCTCCTCCTCCTCCTCCTCCTCCTCCCTCCTGCTTCCCATCCTTGCTTCTGCTCTCCGCATGCCCATCCCATTTCGGCGCACCCCTCACAGGGTTCGTGGCCCCATAGGGAGCTCCACCGAAGGCCCCAGTGGCAGCGTTCGCATGCAGTTCCACCCTCATTTCGGCGCACCCCTCACAGGGTTCGTGGCCCCATAGGGAGCTCCACCGAAGGCCCCAGTGGCAGCGTCGCATGCAGTTCCACCCTCATTTCGGCGCACCCCTCACAGGGTTCGTGGCCCCATAGGGAGCTCCACCGAAGGCCCCAGTGGCAGCGTTCGCATGCAGTTCCACCCTCATTTCGGCGCACCCCTCACAGGGTTCGTGGCCCCATAGGGAGCTCCACCGAAGGCCCCAGTGGCAGCGTTCGCATGCAGTTCCACCCTCATTTCGGCGCACCCCTCACAGGGTTCGTGGCCCCATAGGGAGCTCCACCGAGGCCCCAGTGGCAGCGTTCGCATGCAGTTCCACTTTCATTTCGGCGCACCCCTCACAGGGTTATTGGCCCCATAGGGAGCTCCACCGAAGGCCCTAGTGGCAGCGTTCGCATGCAGTTCCACCCTCATTTCGGCGCACCCCTCTCGCGGTTCGTGGCCCCATAGGGAGCTCCACCGAAGACGGTACTCACAAGTGCGGCACTCACAACTGCATATGGTTGGGGCTTTCGCAAGGCCAATTTTGGCCGTGTTAGAGCCTCACTGAGCCGTCTTCAACCCTCTTAGGAGCCTCTTTGGCCGTGCTGGACGTGTAGCGAAAGCCCAAGAGGCAAATATCATCAAAATATACGTTTTCCCAGAGAGGAGGGGCGATTTTTCTTTTTGGGGGCCCTCTTGGGGGGTTTCTTGGAGGCCTCTGGGGCGTCTTGGAGACATCTTGGGCTGTCTGGAGGCCATGTTGGGCGTCTTGGAACGGTATTTCGGCGACTCGGGGCCCTTTTGGACCGTCTTTGGGGCCTCCTGGGAGGCTTCAGGGACTGTCTTGGAGCTCCAAAGGGAGCCTGGAGAGGGCCGGACCCCCCGTGATGAGTTCGGGGGTGGGTCGTGCAGGGGGCAAACTCCAGGTTTGGGGTTTGGGGGTGGATTATGGGGGGGAAGAATCTCACACGCCTAGAGACCCACAAGGGGTCGGCGGACTTGGGTTGGCGCACAGGGCAGAGTACGCGGACAAGGTGACTGAGCGGTCGATGGCTGCACAAGTGTGCAGCTTCGATCGGAAGCTGCACTTGGCCGGTGAGCAGGTGGACCTGTTTAGAGACTTGAACGACTTCGCTACCGGAGGGCTTCCGGCCAAGCTTCTGATTTGTTTCATACAGTATCTGTGGCTCTGTACAATTCTGAAAGATATCGAGAACACTTTCAGCATCATGACAGCGGTCTGGAGGATCCCGAAAGGGAGATTTACCAGAATGGTGCTTGCAGATTTGCGTGACGACAATGACGATATCGAATCCACGAGCTCATCATCCTCAGACCGCGACCACGGGACTGATTTGGCTGGTTTTATGAAAGTCGTGCGCATAATCTCTATGGCACTGCTTCGCAAGATTCTTGTCATCACTGCGGTGGGGATTCCAAAAACGTGCCTGGCAGTCCTGCTCTACTTGGTAGGGGCGATGTGGCTGGCCAACACAATCAACTTCTCAGAGCTCATCCTGAACGGCGTGGCGCTGGCTTTCGTCCTCGAGTTCGACGAGGTGCTTTACTCCGTCTTCGTCCCGCGGCGGTCCAAGACTCTGATGTCCAACCTCGAACCTCTGCCTTTCCGCCGCCCGAATCCAGGCAGCGCATGGTCCGGCACATGCTCTGTATCCACGGTCGTGTTCATCATAGTTGTAATGTTCGCAGTCTATTTTCTCTTGTTGCAGAGAGTCTTTTGGGAACTCGAGATGGGTCACAGTATCGTGTGCTCTGGCAATCAAGATTTCATCTATGCCGTAAACCCCGCCACTCAGATGGTTCACGTGGCGTCCACAACGGGTGAGAACGTGTACACGGACACAGAAGAGATCATTGCCCAGGTGGCGCAGGTCGTCATCCATGATCACCCGTATTGGGATGGCTTTGTCGACCAGGCCATCTTCGATGCCACCGTATCGGATTTTGACAGGGCCGTTCATGCTCACGGGACAGCGGCAGCTTCGTTCGATTCAATCATTCAGATGAGTGTTTCGAGCATGGCCGAGGCTGCCTTGACGCTCCCATGCCGAGACCTCGCCTCTGGTCAGAGCCAGGAGGCTTCGTTGAAGACTTTGCAGGTGTTGTTGGCTCGGGACGGTTTGGTATCCAATATTAGCAGTTGCAGCGGCATCCCTCGGGACTACTGCGCGTACCAGAACAAGACGTGGTTACGCGCAATTTGCCCCAGGCACTGCAGATGCGAAGAGACCCTTCTGAGTAACACAGGCTTCTTCCAGATGCCCGAGTTTGGGTGCCCGAGCCAGTGCGAGACGTTCAAAGCTGCGAAGAACGAGATCGACTTCAGGTTCCAGCTGACCAAGCTGAAGACAGCCAGGCGCCTACATGCAAGAGAGCCCGACGAAGCGGACCAGCGTCTCCGGGAGGCGTCCGAGGCGGGGATTTATCCATAACCACCGCCTGGGGGATCGATCTTCGCGGACTTCCACAGGCGGTGGATATTGATATATTCGGGCCCCTGGGGGCCAGAATATATCCATATCCACTCCCGCTGGGGCGCCAGGATGTCGGTTCCCAGGCGGTGGATATGGATAAATCCCCGCCTCGCAAGGCGGCCGACCAGAGGCGGCTTTCGCCCGACGACCCGTCAGACATTGCGAACCTCAGCGCGACCTCGACGGAGACGACGACCCCCAGGGACCCGGATTGGACGGTGGCCGACCCCGAAGGCAGCCGCAACAGCATCGTCCTCACTTCGGTGTTCGAGGGCTGCGCCGACCTCCAGGCTTGTGGATTCCACTGCCGTCACAGAGGGCCATGTTAGGAATTAGGAAAACAATAGCACCAGGATAGGATCATAATAGGTTTGGGAAATGGGAAAACAATAGGAACCAGTAGCCCAGGACATGTGTCATGTGCATTCTGTACGGGTGAATGGGACACTTGGGGTAAGGAAACACGTGGCGGGGATGCGCTCGATGTTGACGCAACTTAGGGTTGTTCTGGTACTCTCGGCGACAAGGGCGGCGCAAGCACGCAACGCCGCGTGACGCGCTCTGCGCGGGCCCACTTCACTGAGTGAAACGGTGGTACAACACAACGCTTGAGACACGACAGAAATATTCAGGAGACCCAGGGTCATAGTCGAGAAGAGATGGTGAGGGCAGGAAGGAAAGGACGGGTCAGAGTTCAAGGACGAGGGAGGTGGGGAAGTGTTCGTCTCTACTATGGGCCCTTTGAGAGCTCCCGTGCGCTTCTGGACATGTTAGGTTGCTCTCTGAGGCCGTCTTAGCGGCAACTTTAAATCTTTTCAGACATTCGGGGGCAGTCCGAAATGTGCATGGGCATGTTTGGCCGTATCGGGGCCCTCTGGGAGTGTCCTTGGATCGTCTTGCAAGCTTCTCGGGCTATATTGGAACCTCGCCGGGCTCGTCTTGGACTGAGCAGGGGGTTTGCGGGAATGGCGGAAGCCATGCGGACTTAAAGGAGGCCGCGGCAGCAGCGCAAGGAAGAGGAGATGGAGGAAAAGGAGAAGAGATTTTCGCAGCAGAGTTCGCTTTCCTCTCGACTTGCCTGCCACGGTCTCACCCGCAGCCAGGCGCGGCAACCGCCGCCTCTTCAGGCCGAGCTGGCGTTCTTTTTCGCCTGGGCCTTGGCGCCAACGCTGCCGCTGAAGCTGGACTTCTTCTTGAGCTGCTTCTGGATCATCACATGCAGCTGCTGCGCCGAACACGCGCAGCCCTCGATGCTCCCTGAGACCACCTCCTGAGTCTTTTCATGGAGCTCGGGAACCGCTTCATGATGCCGATCGGGTGGCCTTCGATTCCACCAGCAAGTGCATGCAGAAGCCCTCCTGCCGAAGGCAGTGACCCTTCAGGAACAGGGCCTTGGCAGCCTCGAGCTCTGGGAGCTGCGCGGGCTTGAGGAAACCCTTCCACTCCGACACGAGCACATTCGCCTTGTTCAATGTCACATACATCTCCGAGAGGGCGTTCTGCAGATCCTCGCCCGGAATCTTAGAGAAGATGGGCGTCGCGTGCGCGACGATTTCCTCCCAGGTCGTTCCCGTGAAGCCATCTTGCCAGGCCGCAGTCTCAGCGGAGGTACCGAGCTCCTGCTGGACAAGGCACGTCGCCTTGACCAGCTTCTCTTTGACCTCGCCAAGCTCGGTCTCCAACATCTCAGAGAGCTTCTCCTGTGCCTTGTCGATCGCCATCTTCAAGTTGCCTGTCTGGGCGCCCTCCTCAGGAAACACCTTCTGCAGCTTGCTAAGGCACCGGTCGTACCAAGCGAGCGTGTCCGCCTTGTGATTTTTTGTTGTCCGCCAGAGCCTGCCGCAGTCGAAGCGTTCGCCGCATCGGAGAGCAGCCGCGTTAGGTCACTCACCTCCACGCACATCTTCACCTGGCGCACGTCCTTCTCGCATCCACTGCACCATGGAATGATGAGGTCGGCAAGCTTCCTCAAGGGCTCCGAGGTCGGAGTAATTGCCATGTCCATGCTAAAGAAGGCCTGCAAGATCGTTTGCATCGTCGGCTTCGTCTGCGAAGACAGACGGGCGAGGACCTCTTCCTTCTCGTGGTGGCCCTCGATGCGGCCCAGCGCGGCCACCGCGGTGCTGATGTCGTCCTCCGATAGAGGATGAGGCGGACGAGGCGAGAGCTGGGGAGGATGCGGCGGAGGAGGAGGCGGAGGATGGATAAGCACGGGGAGGTGGAAACCGAAGGAAGGGCACGGAGCGAAACGCGGGAGGAAGAACGAGCAGGATGGATTGAGTAGGGCATGTCGAAAATGAGCGAGGGAAGAGTAGTGAGGAAGACGAGGAGGCTGGAAGGACACAATTTGGGAAGGATGTTGAATGAGGACAACGAGGAGAGAAGGGAGGCAGGAACGAGGAGGGCTTCGAGGGCGAGGGCGAGGAAGAGACGCGAGGGGATGAGAGAGAGAGAGAGAGAGAAAACGCGAATGAGGAGTGCGATGAGATTCATTGAGAAACGAAAAGGGGCCGATGGAGAGGATGATGAGGAGGAGGATAAGGAGGGTGACGAAAGAGGAGGAGGAGGAGAAGGAAAAGGAGAAGGGAGAGGAGGAGGAGAAGGAGAGAGCAGGAGGAGGGCGTGGGAGAAGAAGGAGGAGGGCGTGGGGGAGGAGGGGGAGGAGGAGGAAGAGGGCGTGGGACGAGGAGGAGGAGGGCGTAACAACCCTCTGTCCTCTGATCCGGTCCACTCCGACTCCTGGGAGTTGGTGATGAGAACGAGGCTGGCCTCGAGGTTCTCATAGGTCGAGTTCGCGCCATAGACGCCGATCCACTCGTCGAAGATGGCCTCCGCCTTGCGAATCGCTCCAAGGTGCCCGGAAATCTCGGCGCCCTTCACCATGAGGTTGCGGTATTCCTGCATCCCGACTTGGAACTGCTCGCGTTGGCCAGACTTCTTCGCCTCGACCACGCTGATGGCAACGGAGTCCAAGTGGACCGAGAAGCACGTCGTGAACGGGGCCAGCCGATCCCTGCGCAAATAGCCCAACCAAGTCGTGTAAGTGTCCATCGCTCACGTCATCTGCTCAACCGTCACGGTGTTCTTCTTCGCAGTGAGGTCCATGTGCTGCCTGATCTTGGGCCTCTCCTTCTCGGTGGCTTGAAGAGTGCTCTTATAGTCGGCCAGCAGGTCCGTGGGAAAAAACACACACAATTTGGGAACAACCACACTGTGGGAAAAAAACACCCACTGTGGGAAAACACACACACACACTGTGTGTGCTTTTTTCCAACTGTGCGTTTTTTTCCCACTGTGTGTGTGTGTGGTTTTTTCCCACTGAGTGTGTGTGTGTGTGTTTCCCCACAGTTTTTTTTCCCCCACCGTGTGTGTTTTTCCGAGTAGAGCATCGCTTTCACAACAGATGCCAGCGTGCGTGCCCACGGCTGGCTCTTGGCCATCGGCTCTCACTCAGCGGGACCACAGGACACCACGGGACACCTGTCGATCTCACTTTCGTTCCCACTATCGATCTCGCGTTTCGGGACACCACGGGACACCTCGAGGCACCACATCGATCTCAGTATCGATCTCACCATCGATTTCACACCACGGGACACCACGGGACACCTGTCGATCTCATTATCGATCTCAGTATCGATTTCACTTTTTGGGACACCACGGGTCACCTCGGGGCACCACATCGATCTCAGTATCGATCTCACCACGGAGCACCACGGGACGCTTGTCGACCTCACTATCGATCTCACACCACGGGCCACCACAGGACACCACGGGACACCGCGGGACACCTCTCGATCTCACGGTCGGTCACATTATCGATTTCATTATCAATCTCACACCACGGGACACCAGAGGACACCACGGGACACCTCGGGGCACCACATCGATCTCATTATCGATCTCACTATCGGTCTCACTATCGATCTCACTCAACGGGACACCACGGGACACATGTCGATCTCGCTACCGATCTCACTATTGATGTCATTTTTCGGGACACCACGGGACACCTCGGGGCACCACATCGGTCTCAGTATCGATCTCACTATCGATCTCACACCACGGGACACCACGGGACACCTGTCGATCTCACGATCGATCTCAGTATCGATCTCACTTTTTGGGACACCACGGGACACCCCGGGGGACCACATTGATCTCATATCGATCTCACTGTCGATCTCACTATCGATCTCACTCAACGGGACACCACGGGAAACCACGGGACACCGCGGGACACCGCGAGCCATCGCCGGACGGGCGGGCGGGGGAAATCATTTGTTATCGACTTCGCCCTAGCAACGGCGGGTTCATTCCTCTCGCGCGCCCACGCAGCTTCGCCTCGCCCGCACGCACGACACGAACGAAACGATTTCCCGGTTGGGGTTTCCCGTTGCACTGCGATCTCACCCCCAACCTCTGACACACGTATCATGGGAATGACGACATATATCAGTAGTGTGATTACAACTTGTGTGAATAATTTGTGAACGCTACATTTGTGATTGGTACCCGAATGAATGCAGGTACTACAGCACACACAAGCTTTAAATGTGTGACGCGCAGACACGTACATCTACATGAATTACTACAGGTACTACAACACACCGATACCATGTGTGATTACTGAATGCCACAACTACTACACAACAAACAGCAGAAACACGGATGCACAATCATACGCGCGCAAACAACGTCACGCATGCCCCCGCCGAGTGACCGCATGCAACACGCATGACGCAACGCAGGCCACTCGCGAATGTCACAACCTCTCGCGCGCGACACCGTAATAAACCCGTTGCAAAATAGGCGGGGGGAAATGAGACATCCTAGCACGATGTGGGTGTTCTAGGTATATCAACTCAGAGAACACTGCCCGCGCGGCCGTGCACCCACCAGATGTGGAGGAGGTGGAGGGGGGAGGGGGGCCCGCTGTCGCAATAACGCAGGTGGTCAAGTAAACAACACCAGCGGTTGAAAAAGCGGTTCCGCCACGAACCACTCACCCTTTTTAACCTTACAGCCAGAACGCCCGCGGGAACGAGGCGCCGCGCGCAGGCGAACGCGTGTGTGGACGCCCGACGGCGACCGATTGCGATGGCGATTTTGGACCCCGTGGGAATTCTGGAGGCCTCGTGCAGCTCATACCAAGCTGTGCAGAGCCGACGGCCCATGACGTCTCGACGCGCCCAGGCATCACCGAACGAGAAGCGGATGAACGCCGGCACCTCTCGCGGCCGAGAATTCAAGCAGCGAGTCTTGCGGTCGTGGGCGCGCCAACGGCAAG